AATTAAAGATGTTTTAAAAAAAAAATAGACAAAAAAAATTTTTTTTAAATATTTTATTTCATTTAATTTGATTGGTTAACCTAAATTTTATTAGATCGGGTCATAAGCTTAACCTGACCTGATGTTGATCTAAAAATTTGTCTATCTGACCTGGATTTTTCAGGTCGGGTCGGGTCGGGTTACAGGTTGACCTGACCTGATTCAGAGCTCTATTGTAGTTATATTATCATCAGAATTATATTGATCAGGAAAATTCCCTTATACTGGTGAATTTTTTCGTAATGAAATGACCTTAATCTGGCATCTTAATTTTTCTACCTATTCTCAGATTTTACCAATCGCTCTTCTAAAGTAAAGATATATTATTCCTTATCTCACACATCCTTCTTAGCTTGATATAACTGACTTTTTAGACTGGAGATTTCAGATCTTAGCTTTGCTATCTCTTCTTCTGAAGCATTCTCAAGATGCTTTATGTCTTTATTGAGATTTAGATTTCCTGCTCATACTGGCTATATTCACACTTCAGTTGATTAAACCATTTCTTATTCAGATGATTATTTTCTACCTCTGTCTGTAATGCATCTCAAAGATGATAATTATCCTTCTTCAACTCGGCTATATATTTTTTACAGGTTCTTATTTGCCTTGGTTGAGGTCTGTAAAATGTTATTCTTTTTTTCATTATTATAAAAGAGATTCAGAATAGGAGAATCCTTGATTTATATCGATCCTCAAAAAGCATATGATTTTGACCAAAATCTTGCCTTATATGTATTATCAACCTGAAGGTCTTTACCCAAAATATTAAGGGATTATGGAATATATATAAAAAAAAAACTGAACATACTATCCTATTTACTGATGTAAAAAAATGGCTTGATACTCAAGTAATATATCAAATTTTTTGTATTTCACTTAAGCATATACCTTATGCTAGCTATTCTAGAATCACAAAACTGAATACTGTACATCAGTGTGATTTGATCGAAATACCATTTGATGATGTGAATATAGATTTATTAGATAATGGTCTAATCTTTTACTATGTATTATTAGTTATAGACTGCGTGACTAAGTATAAAAATTTCATTTTTTTAACGTCAAAAAGTAGTGAAGAAGTTGCAGAAGCTTTTAAGAGTCTATATGATAATCCTGACAATCCTCTCAACTGGTCTCAAAAATACAATGTGATCAAGGTTACGAGTTTATGGGAAGTATAACATTAATAATGGATTAACATAATGTTAACATTTGAAGAATTATAGCACGTTTCAAATAAACAAGCTTGGCTATGGTTAATCATTATGCTGGATTATTTGAATTTAAAGTTTTTAAAAATCAGTTTTCAATAGGTTTTTTCCTACCTACTGGTGAACATTGTAGGGAATACAAACGATTTGCAAGAAGAATTATTGATAATATGAATAATACTCAAGCTCAGTTAATTGGAATGAGTCCTAATGATGCTATAAAACTTGAGCAGGCATATTCCAAGCTATCAATAAAATATAATTGTCCGATAGGTGTTAATGAACTACAGCTATTAAAGAGTACTACTATCTGATATTGCTTGCCTCTAGAGAGTGGAAAAATGATCCTTTTGAATGATACAGAATAACATATCTAATATGGTCTCCCAGCTAGGGATGGTAACGGTCGGTCATAGTCGGTTAACGGTCGGTCAACGGTCAGTCAAAGGCCTTTGACCGACCGACCG